TCATGCAAGGATTCAGAAAATTGCACAGTGACCTGTCTGGGAAATCCTACCCACATGTCCCCTCTGTGCTTTCTGCCCATTTCTCATGGTAATCTCTTCTCTGGGAACAAAGCCACGACACTTGCTGAAACAGCTCTGCTCGTATAAAGTAACAGCTTGTCCAATAAGCAGCAAAGGACAATTTAGTTCTCGGTACAAACAACCCGGCTAACTCCAGACGAGTTTGCTCGAGAACCCGAGGGATAAAGCTCCCTTCTCAGGGATCACTAACCCACCGGTCACCCCGCGCCGACGCAGCCCCCGAGAGCGTCTGGGTACCGAAGCAAACTCGTCCGGGAGGAGCCGGGACGCGAGCCCAGCTCTGGGCTGGCCCATACGGACAAATCGAAGGTTGCGGTACCGAACGTCACCTTAACGTCGTTCGAAGATCTGAGGTTTAAGTTCTTCATGCAGGGACTGGCCTTAACGCCCAGAGGTGGTTACTCTTACCGCGACTACGGCATTCTCTGTCCAATATTTCACCACAACCCAAGCTAAGGGAATTCTGCAACTGCGTAAGAGAAGAATTACACGGGAATGAAGCCAAAAGAGAGAGGCGTTTGCTCCCGTAAGGCAGTCGCTGTGTACCTTGGTGGCATTAAGATGAAGCTAGCTTCGCTCCAGAACAACGTGTAGGTGTCCGCCTGGACGTACTTCTGTGATAACTCAAACTATTACTGTGTAGGCTGGTAAATAAGGGAAAGTAAAGGGACAGTCAGTATTAATTTTAGGAGGTGGTCAGGTGCTGAAAAGGATAGTGGAACCTCGTGGTACCTTGTTGGTACCCAGAGAGAGAATAAAAACTGCATATTAAGAGTATGAGAATATATGAGAGAATACGGTAATTGCCACAAACAAGGAGTTATGTTGCTCTTACCTTATTTTTAAAACAGATTTAAGCACATTAACAATCAAACAATGAATTTATTTGCAGGATACATTTATCATACATAGAAAACAATACTTATTGTTTGCTTGATTAAATAGAGAAAAAAAGCAAAACAAAAACACAATACATTATTCAAAGCGTTCCATATATTTGTTAGCTGACATTTTCAAAATGAAGCTTTCTTGGTTTTTTTTTTTGTTTTTCTTTTTTAAAAAACATGATCGTGAACAATGCATAGTGGGAACAAAGGGTCTAGAAATCTAACATTCCACAGCTGTGAGTCAGTGTGAAAAATAAGGCTATGTAGAGGAAAAAAAACCCAGAGTGAATTTCAAAACAATACATATTCCATTGACAAGCTTCAGATAAGATCATCTGAGCATATGAAATCTAAAAGCAAAGTTACATAAGGAAGGGAGGAATTTAAAATATTAATAAACAACTTGGGAAGGAAGAAACTAGACTTCTCCAGTCATGGCTTGGAAATAGCCTCCAAACTTTCAAACTAGTGTCAAGTGAAGGTCAGTTACACTACGATGCTGCAAAAACCAACCCAAGATGAACATCTAGAGGTGAGAAATATCCAAGTCCATTTTACTAAACTACAACTACCCATACCACTTATTCGGCACGTATTTATCAGTGGAACGACAAAGTAAGTGTTTAAAAAAAAAAGTTTGGTCACCAGTCACTGAATGATTCAGTGAAGGGCTGGAAAACATATCTGCATGCTCTGAAATGTTAATTACAAGTTCTTTTCACGTGCCATGCTAATGTAAATGGAATGAATGGAATTGCAGTGTCATATCCTGCTCTTTGTTCCCGGCCTTTCACACTGGGTCAGCAGTGTGAAGGTTTCATAAAGCTGCCATAAACGGAGGTTCTTCACCGCCCTCCGTCGCTGCCATCTGCTCTTCACACGATCGTGGCGGATGAGTCCCAGGAACACGACTCACAGGGCTGCCGTTTTCTGGCACTCCCTAGTACAGGGCTTCCCAAACGCTGCATTAATACAGGATATGTACCCCAGATAACTCAGCCACATTAAATAACTACTCTCTATATAGCGTTACATGAAATTCAGGATAAAGAGGGTATAAAATAACTGCTAATACTGGATCTTACCTGAGTTAGATTCAGCTTCCTTACTCACAAGGTCACAAGAACAAAGCTGTGGCAAGACTGGTTGTGGGAATTGGTCTGAATGCACATTTGTAAAATACGCATTTTATACACAACTATTTATTTCTAGAGTTTAACTCGCATCTTTTTAAAACAATTAAATACAGACTAGGCTACATAAACCTTTACAACCCTTCTTCATCCGTCATAAATGATATCCAGATACAAATTCAGACCTTTCGGATAGAAGACATACAGAATTTATTTAAAAAAATATTTGCTAAAAGGTCACCCTTTGCCATCGTTTAAAATGTATAGGAAACTATTGGAAAAACTTGGATTGTTGATGTTCTAAACTGAACAAAAATATATCCTTATTTCAAGAAAGCTGAAACAACCTCACTGCCGTGGGGAGGTCTGTCCTGAAAACATTATTTCTTTAGTATACCCTACACAGTCTCACTCATCCCAGTTATCATTCAGAACAGCACAAAGAGCAGCATTTAGAGAGCAATGGATTCTTAGGCCGGCCTCTTTTAGCTGCCCTGAAAAATCTGTTTACCGTGCTTGTAGCTGAGGCATCACAGAAAGCAAGAAACAAGTTTTCAACATCAGCTGAACAAAACTCATGCAGCTGTGGTTGCACTACAGCCATCCCTTGTCTTCTGTTAATAAAGAAGTTTGATCAGTTACAGGAGAAAAACATAGTTGCAATTTTAAAATCCAGAGAAAGCCATGGAATTCATACAGGGAAGGAAAAAGAAAAAAAAAGCCTACATTGCAGAGTATGGAGGACTGCTGTAAATTATCCCTAAAAAAGCAGCAGTACCGACAGTGGCTGTGTATGTATCTATTACATGTATGTATGCATGTATAGACACACATATACACAAACGCAGAATCACCATCACCGAAAAAAATAACTGTCAATGCAGTTGGTCGTTTCATTCTAAATAAAAAGGATGAGTTAACAGATTTTCCACTGTGGCTCATAAATTTGGGCTGACTAATCTGCAGGTTTGTCTATACATTTTCTAGTGAAGTCTCTTTCATTTAACTTGTACGGAAGCAAGCTGGTTTTGATTTCCGAGGTTAGCAAAGAGTGTGTAACATCCCACTTGCTAAGAAGTTAGCCATTTTCATGTCACAGCATGCATTATCAGAACATGCTATGGAAGTCTTTGCTGATATAAAAAAAATTCTCATAAAAAAACCAAATCAGAACAATGATTATAATTACAGAATTCTTCTGGCAATTTTCAAGTAAAAAGCTATGTATAACACATCCCAATGTTAGACATTATTTTTTCCATCTGATACAGATTTAAAATGCATAGTATGTACATAAATAGCAGTATTCATCCAATCTTTAGGAGTGTTCTGTTTTATACTCCAGTCAATATGCCCTGTAATTATATTGATGGATTCTGCATTAAAGAATACATTACATTCTGAGGGGCTAATTGGAATGAGAAGTGGAAAGATTTCATTTTAAGGAAAGGCTTCCTTTTAATTTTTACAAAAACAGAAATAGAAGCAGCATCACAAATACTCCAGAGTAAAAATCTGACACACAAAAACCATTCTGTGTCCTTCTGTGTTCTCTTACTAACCAAGCAAAACCCCAGCAAAACCCCTCCCAGTAACTACATGCATGGCACTTGCTTATCGGAATGTAATCCATATGTTAGGATTATAGGAGAATGAAATGGATCCATTTAACAACTTTTCTGCAGAGAGTGGTCCAACTTAACTACTACCTTTGTCCACAGGTAATCTAAGATGTGCTGGGTCACCATTCATACCCGGTTTGCTTTAAGTCTTGATTCAAAGCACTTGCACATACCTAAATCAACCCTTATTCAGTAGAATGCCAGCACACAGAAAAATGGACCCATGAATTATTTTTAAACACTTCTGTCTCTCCCATATAAGAGAACCAGGGTCTTTACAGCGTACTAGTGTGTCTGCTTTGCTAAAACAATAACCGATGTCTTCTCCACCCTCTTTTTGATTATGAAGTCAAACACAGACTGAAGTTCTACTTAGTATAACTGTGGCTTTCAGTGATTGTGTAAAGCAAAATAAACTGGATTTAGTTTCCTTTGATAAAACATGATGTTTTGGTAGCACATTAACTAACAAGGAACAACCTGTCAGCCTCATTACAGCAGATGTAATTTTTGTATGCCAATTCAGAAACTTTGTTTTTTTGAATCTCTTGCCTGCATCTCCAGGAGGGGTACGTACTATGCTGAAAGATTGTCCTAAGCATTTGTAGTCAACATGAATATATAAAGTCTCAAACTTGAAATGTTTTTCACAGAATATTTTTGAAATCACCATAGATTGGTGAATTGTTGATGTTGTTGCTTTAGATAGTAAGACAGGATCTGTGCTGACATGCCTGGGTCAAAATGATGGAAAATGAGAGGCACCTTCTGCCTGAAGAGGTGAGCTTCAAGAGACCCACCCAGCCCATGACAGCACTGGAGAGGTAAGTAAACTAACACAACAACAAATAAACAGACGTGCTTTCTCATTACTGCTTGCATCACCTTAAGAACACATCGTCAGTAAGCGTGAAGGCTACTGTGCAAAAATACAGTAACACATCAGTGGGCGAATGCAAACACCATCGCTACAAATCCATGCAGTAGCACCAGGAGTTGGGCTCAACCCCAGTTTTAAAGTTACCCAGGCTTTTACCGCTAGAGCCAAGAGAATCTCTGTTGGCTGGTCACGAATGCTTCAGTACTCCCTGCAGGCCAGCATCCATGAGCTCAGCTTCCACTTCAGTTCTGGGTAGAAAGGGCGTTTCTGTAGAGGAACTCGGAGCTGCAGCAGCTCTGTATGAGCTGTACAAGCACTGTACCAGCCAGAAGTTGCAGGGTGTTTTTCAAAATTTTCCTATATCAAATATCTAGGCTCCCAAACTGGAGCTTTTTTTTTTTTTTTAAAACATCAGCCTGTATTGAGGCAAGGCTCTGACTGAACCCCATTTATATAAACACAGCAATATATCACTGGAGGACATGACAGTCCATATATAATCCTATTAGGTACAGAATATTACAGACTTAAAGAGCTTCAAAGTGTGTCAGACACACTTCAGTCAGCAAAACACTGACTGTTCTTCCACTGTTCATTTAAGAACAAGGATATGGTCTGTATTCCCCTCAGAAAACAAAGCCAAACATTTAAATAGTTCAATTCACAACCACGTTCTTCCTCTAAACAATTCTGATTCAAGACCAGCTTCAGCTAAACATCTTCCTTAGCTATCTTTGAGCAGAATGAATCCTAGCAAAGGAAACCGACCCTTTGAAAGACAGAAAACCATCAGTGAGTTACTGTACACATTAATGCGTAGCATCGGAAGACAGACACCATAAAAACAACAGGTTTCACTTTTAACTGTAAACAGGTATAACACAGTATTCTTTTCTGAGTAAAACAACACAAACATTATTTATCACTTAGGAATAATTGGGCACAGCATACTTCAGCACTCAGAAACTAAATTTCAGTTATCTTGTAGCTATTGCTGACAAATATTGCCTTTAAAAAATCTTCAGCTGCGTATGGTAATATACAACTGAATGTGTAAGAAACACAGACATGTGGGCTTTGTTATCCTCCCACACTCCTCATCTCACCAGACATTGGCACTTCTCATCTACGTCCTGAGGACAACATGCTTTCAGTCATTTTGGCCAGCTGAAAAGGAAAGATACTAACCCATATGGCCTCTCTCTGCTCATTAACACATGGTAAGCATTTACTTAGCTTTTCACCATTTTGAGATCAGATGTTAGGGCTTCTTAAGAGTCCAGTCTGGTAGAATACCAGATTAAAAAAAAAAACAAAACAAGACACTCAAGACTATGCTGACTGAGAAACGATCAGAACCCACACATATTTTCTGACAATTATTCAAATTATAAAATAAAACCTAAGTGTTATTTTCTCCCCCTTTACAACTGTTTGAGGCCAAATAATTCCCTTATGTTGAGAGCCAAATTAATGAAGTCTTAGGCTTTTTACTGTGAAACTTTACAATGCAGTTTCTCCAAAATTAGTACAGTGCTTAAAGACTATATAAAAAGGTTCCTACTTCAATTAGATTTCCCATGACCACAGGCACAATGTTGTACAGTTTTAAATTAAAACAGCAGCCACCAGTGATTTTTCTTTCAGTGTCATTTTAAGGGAATTATTTCAGTCTCAGTACTGGACAAGTTTTAAAAGGCAATGGATTCGTTCTTTCTGTGTACTCTGAGAACTGATGGAAGTGTATCCAATGTTCTATCGTGCTGTCACCATCCAAAGTCCCAGTGCAACATTGGCAGCCAAAAGTGCACTACCAGCAAGCAAAATTAAAAAGCCAACAAGCTCTCTGTTTTGTTTTTCTACAATCAGGGAGCTCAGAGTGGCTTCCAGGAATGAATTTAATATCCACTGACCATCCAAAGCGAAGCAGGGTACAGCATTGATAACTGCCAGTGCTCCTGACAGTGAAATTAGGTACCTGGTTGACATTAGTTAAGGTTTGTGAATAATATCCAAGAAAATGTAAAAAAAAAATATTTAAAACAAAACATATTTTTTATATCTAGTATGCAGAGACAAACATATGAGGGTTATTTTTTTTAGCTGCCATTCTGTTTCACAGAAATTATAGGAGTACAATGATTTTTACACCATAATACACCAGCTCAAGAGAACTGCCTGTACAGATTCATTTGCTTTTAAGCACTAGGTTTGGATCCTTAAACAACCTGCACTGTTCACAACTCAGATGAAAGAAGGAGACAGCAAAATTGTCCTTAAAACTGCCCATCTTCCTCCCTTGCTTTGTGTGGTTTTGGAGGAAGATTATAGCTCTGACACCATGCCTGAAGTAAGAAGGTATTCTAGACCTATGACCTAAGTATGAAATAACGATTAGGAATATTTTCCAAAACACTCCCTTGCTGGAGTAAGTAAATGGCTAGAATATAATAGGAAATCTGGCTTCTCTCTCCTACGTACCTGTTAGCCAGAAAATTTGAGTGGATTTCTGTACATGCATGTGCATGTGAGAATGAGGCAAGGATAGATCATTTTTATTGTTGGTAAAGGCTTGCTAACTGTAATGCCTACCTCCATCCTATAATGGCCGGACAAGAAGGCATATGACTCAGAAAGCAGCTGGGTCAGTGTGAACCTTGGTGTGTTCCCAGAAAAGGGGAGCTTATGTAGCATCTTTACTCTAGTTTTATGGGGTACACTGAACTACACTGTTTGTTTGTTCTATAGCCACGCATAAACATTTCCGTTTCTAAGGCTAAGGGTTCTTAGATTAGCCATATTCAAGCCTACTAACCTTTATGTATGTGTATATGTATCACCTCATTCATTAATAAGCATGTTTTAACTGAATTAACATCCTGCTTTTTGAATAGGCTGTTTTCTTTTCTGTTGAAGGGAAAAAAAAAAAGGAAAAAAAAGAACCATACCCTGTTATTTAGTTCAGTATAATGGTATAATGACTCAGAAATGATAAAACTGACATACCAAAGCTAGCAGTAACATCTCATTTGTCCTGCCCTAAATTCAGGATTACTTTGACTTCCTCATTGGAGCTGTTGAGACTCACCCTCAAGAAAGAGTTAAAAAAAGCACTGACCAAAACCATCCTGCTAAGCACAAGAGAAACTGCGCTTTGAGCTTGGCACATGGACAATAATCAATGCAGAAATGGGATAAAGATGTCAAAACTCTACAGAAATATTTCAGAGCATCCTGTCTAAAATGATATCCAACTGAAATTTTGCTGGGTCACCAAATTCTAAACAGTTCCCTTCTTGCCTTAAAAGCAAACAAAAAACCCCCCAAAGATACTTCAAAGGATACTTGCAAAATGTCTCTATCACCACAGGCAGATCGATGCTTAGAAAGTTTTGTCGTGGTACAAAACTGCTGAGACTTACTGAAATGAAAATAAAAGAGACACAAAACATGAACACTCATTCCAGGATTATAACATTATGAATTTTAGATTGTAATTTTGCAGAAAAATCAGATCTGAAATGACATTTCTTCAAGGATGAATAACCAATCTAAATATGGTTTTGCTTGGTTTTTCTTTTTAAGAGTGCAGCTGTTAAGTCTTTCTTAAAGATGATCACTGTCATAGTAAAGTCACTCCACAAAATACAATTAGCATGATTTCAGCAAAACGAGATCTAAGATACGTATTTTCAGAGGCAACTGGACATCTGTAGTCATAAAGACCAGATTGTGTAATTTAAGTCCTTTTCAAAGCAAAACATATAAAGAGAGATTATAGTTACCAGACTTTTTCAACATATGCAGTCCACATGTATACATTCATACTGTGGGTGCACACACGCACTTTCTCTGAAGGCCAGAAAACTCTTCTCTTGCAGTACCTGCAGAAGATCCCCCCGACTTGAGGCTGAGCTCCTGGTGTGTAGGAGCGGGGCAGATAGGGACCAGAGTTCTGGAGTCACTCTGAGAAAGCAGAGGCTAGGAGATGATGCACAGCTGCATTACACATCTCAACACCAGTTAGCCAGTACCTAGGTAGCTTCTTTTTCTGTCTTCAGATGACACCGCAAGTGACTCCAAGATGCAACCTAGTGCAGCTTAAAAACCTGGGAGGTGGGACTCTGCATCCTTCCTATAAACAGTGGCTGGAAAATTGCAGTGTCAAGCACCACATGACCTTGAAACACTTCTTTAGTGCTGTAACTTCTCTGAAGGTGCACGTGAAGCTGCAGCTGACTGCATGTCAAACGTTTATGCGAGACTCCTCAAGGAAAACTGAGGTAGCTTGAGACCTCCCAGAGCGCACGCTGTTAGCGCAGGGATGCTCCACCTGGGTTGTCTCATCAAAAGTCAGTAACCAGCAGTCTCCGTCTGCCAGCCTCAGGGACCGTTTGAAAGCCTTAGCTCTGTGACAGCTGGAAGAAAGTCACCTTTCCTACTAGAAGGCTCCACTCACAGCATAGCAGAGTCTTAAGCCCAGAAGGAAGAGGTTTACATAAATAAAGGCAGAATTAGAAAATCACCTTAAGAATGAGCTTGCAGAGTACCAACAACGGTCACTCTGTCCTTTAAGAACAACTTTGGACACGAGTTGAGGTCAGCCACAATGGCCTGAGTTTTCCCTACCACCATGGGAAAAAGTCATTGCCATAAGAAATGACATCTCCACAGAGCTATGTGAAAGCAAGAATTCAAATCCCACTCAATACAAACATCCCTTGGGAAAGGAACAATTTAACCCACCCTTTGAGAAATTTTAAAACCATAGGCCAAGAGAATGCTGGGAGCCTCACAGCACTAGTACGTAACATAGCAAAAGCACTGCTAACTATATCTAGTTAAGAGCAAGATCAGATTTCTTCAGGTTCAATAAACAATTCAAGGACCCTGGAACAAAGGTGAGGGGAAAGTAGTTCCAAAGGCACATGAGGCAGAGAACTGGTCCACTCAGTCACATAAACACATTTTCTCCTGCAAATAGAGGCCCTTCTGATGAGTCAGAAGTGCTAATTAGTCCAACCAGCAAGCATACCATGGGATGGAGAGATTTGGATAGCAAGGAGTCCCGAAAAAAAGAACGGGTTTGGTGTGGCAACAAGCAGAGAACTTTCCAGTACCAAAGCTGCCGCAGCTGTGCCAAGACAGCTTGAAAATCACGTTCTCCTTTACCTTAGCTTAAGAAAGACCTTTGATTTAGGAGAACTGAAAGAAAATAAGTAAGTCTGTTAGACTACAGAGTGAAGAACAAAACAGATGGAAATCCTGGACACCACCCAGCTCAGAAAGTCAGAAACATCCAAGTCAAGTGATATCCAAAGCAAACAACTCGTCAAGCTGAAGGCTGGTATCAGAACATCTGATCAGACCTCTTGTTCATGAGCCAAGATAGCAAAATGGCTGAGGCAGTGTATTCAAGAAGGTTTCAAAAGACACACACTGCAATGTACTGTAATTTCAAAGCTTGACTGCCTCTTGACAAACACCTAATGGCCACTAACAAGTCACCATCCTGAACCTGAAGTTGTGCCTACATTGAGAACGGATCACTAATCTCCCTCCCTCTTTGTTACAACAAACTGTCATCCCTGACAGCCACTAGACATGGATTTAAACTCCAAACCTTGCAGCTGAAGCAATCTCCAAAACACAAAGAAACTCCTCAGGAAGTTGCTGGACTGAGCTCTAGACGCTGTAATATGAGGCAATGAATTTAGTGGCTGTAATGGATCAAACCTAATGGCAGCAGGCAGATCTGTCCTTCAAGGAATAACAAAAGAATTACAGAAATTATGTTCTCCAGGCTTGTCTTCAAAAGACACTGCTGGGAAGAGGTGAACAGCAATGAGGCTGGGTGAGAGAAAACAGTCATTGTTTTCCCACTCTAATTAAACAATTCTTTGACCTGGAATTAACATTTCTTTTGTTGGCTAATGCTAGATGGTGTTGGCAAATATTGAGAAGAATGCACAACGGACACAATTTTAATTAGAAGTGATTTGGAGACTAGGTTGACCAAAGAGCTTTTCAAAACCTCTTCATGGGGGAAAGGGCATGTATGCTATGGAGGAGAGGGACAGTACGGCATGAGACATTTCTGTGTGGTCTCCAGAAGAACTATACATGTAACCCTTTCAACATGGGTTGAAAGCAAAGAAGGATCATCCTCAGCAGTAATGCAGAAACAAGCATGGAAATACTGAGAAACCAGACTGTACTAGATAGACCTTCATCAGGGATTATGGCTGTTGTTGCCCAAAAAACTGCCACAAAGCTAGGTAGTGGCTTTTTTTTTTAGAAAACGTGGATACAGAAGAAGTATAAGACTGGTCCAGTTGGGGGAAATTATCTTCCAGGTAAGTGTCGTGGAAGGTGGCAGAGCTGAGCTACATGAGCATGCAGACCACACCTGAATGAGACATAAACAGCACGTGGCGATAATAGGACAAGATTGTGAGGCTATAATAGCATGGTAATGTATATAAATTAGAGGCCGTTATTATGTCTTGGAGGGCTTTAAGGACTTTGTTTAGCTGCTTAAAAGTAGTTGTTCATGATAAAGCAGAACTTGCAGCTTGCTTAATGCTTTTGCTTAACGTTGACCTATCCTCTGACTGGAGGAATAAGAAGATCTGGAGCCAGTTTGAGCCAGGAAAAGGAGATGTAGTAACCACTAGCCTAAAAACAGGAAAGAAAAAGCCCGCCTAGGGATGGGAAAAAGGACCCAATGAGAGAGGGGACAACCCCAGACCCAAATATTACTGTTGGACCAGACTATGGTGTGAGGGGCAGGAACTTAGACTGCAAGGGTATAATTGCCCAGGGAGTTTAGTGTTTGGGGTCCCTCTCCGGAGGCATCCAGCTCAGGCTGTCTGAATCTGTGCACCAGAGGTAGGACAAGTGTGTGTGTGTGGGCAGCAGCTTCTCCCTTAACAGTATGTTTCCATCTTCTTTTCGTGAAGGAAATCTTGCAGTTTTTGATCCCTGATGGGTGATGCAGACACAGTAACATTCAGGGCAACGATCTTCCTTCAAGCAGTGTGAATTCCAAATTCAAACGTTAGTCACCAGATTCTTCCCAACCAACGAGGGCCAGAGAAGGAAGCCAAGATTTTGCAATACCAGAAATGCCATGAAGGAATAAAAAGAAACACTGCAAAGTTGCATGGCAATAATGACAGGGCCCTCCCTTTCAACCTTACATTACCATCTGTCCAACACAGGGAGAGCCTCTAGAGCATAACCGGCCTGTAATAAGAAAAGTCTAAAAGTCTTGAGTAATACCATATGAATTAAACCCACAGTATGAATTTATATTGAATTACATTAGATATTTTTTACAGAGAGAATGCTCATTAAAAGGATTAATCAATGTGTCCATCCTAAACAACATGCATTCCTAATCATTCCTTCTGGTTTAGTTTTGGCCAAATCTCCAGCACTGTAAGTTCATTTAGGATTATGATTCTTTATAATATTTTTGCTAGGATATTTTACTTTAAGGAAACAGAAACATTTTATAGAAGTAAGCTGTATAGCCTATTTCTTTGTAAATAGCTAATATGGATATAAATTTTTAAAAGTATTGTATCTGGAAGTTAGCTTCAAATAAAACTGTGAAATAATTACTGCTTCTCCATAAATCAGGACTATCATGACAACAATATAAGCCTAAGTAGAAAATAATACATGCATAATCTTAGAATGTTTTTCAAACATTACTTTAGTGACATTTCTAGGGAAAGTAAAGTCATAGTACACACTAGTGCAACTAGTGCAATTAACTGTGTGTTAAATGTAGCACCACTCTAAAAAGTAATGTTTCCTGCAGGCAGAAAGATCACACTAAAGAATAAGACATTTCACTAAAACATATTCCTATTTCAAAATTCACACAGTAGAGGAAGAAACTATTTTCCTTTCTTAACTGTAAAAAAATGGTTACCACACTCGGGGGGGGATCAAACCTGTTGGCCCCAAGCCAGTATTGAACAGTGCAAAGTTAAGTCTGAAATATTCAGAAGTTGTTTCACAGGAATGCACGGAACTCTACGATAGTACAGTAGACTACCTGCTGCCCAAGCCAGGATCCTGTAATTTTAGCTCCGGTGTTTCTCCAAGGGGAACATAGAGCATAGATTGCATATGCAGCAAAGTTTGTAATAAAGTCAAGCTTTTAGCTTTCAAATTAACACATTCAATGTGCAATTCCCAGGGTACAGTAAATCACTTTAGAATTATATTCCTGTAAATACACTGTAAACTGTATTTTCACACAGGAACTTCTTAAAGTAGAACTACTTCTTTAGATGCAGTAACATTCTTTTCTGACTTCTGAAAGACTGACAGGTTTGATTATTTTGCAGAATTACTGTTCAATAGGAAACACTGACTGAAACTCCATTGCTCCAACATACTGGAAAAGAAAACAATATCAAGCGTTCTAGAGTATCTACAGTTTGTATTGTTAGTGACCAAGAAAGGGAACTTAAAATAATTATCAAACTCTAGTCTTAAAATTTGTTGCTGCATTTGGAATAGATGTCATCAAATATAGAACTGTGTGTTGCTATCACACAGGTAAACAATGTTTTCCTCCTAAATGGCCAGAGGGCAGAAATAACAAGTGAAGAGATCATATTTTGGGCTTAAATGAGGGCATATTGTAAACAAGTAGAAATAATTTGTCACAGTATCAAAATATGAGCAGCACAGAAAGATAAAGACTGACAGATTAATTAAAAATATGTTTATGCAGGAATGCTAATCTATTTACACTACCAGATTTCATCACTGTTTCTAAAGGTCTCTTGTACCTAATTTCCGTGCTTATTCAGACAAGTACAATGCCTTGCTAAGGAGGCAGTTCAAGATGTCTGAAGTAAAATCTCCCCCTGCAAAGTACAGCTGTCTGTGAGGAACAGGCAGGTTCCTCACAGGAAGGGACAGTAGTTTAACACTTCATCCTTTTTTAAGCCCATCTGAAGCTAATTTTCACCATGCTGCTCAAGCTACTAAGTAGGGATGTTGGTGAGTTTGTTCATTCTTTCCAGACCTGCTCCAAAAGCAGAATTACTTTTTATTTGCATACCTGGCTCAAGGATCTAAGCTTGCCTAAAGAAGAATCATAACACATTTCAAAGTAAGGAACTAAACTGTTATACGTTACTTAATTTAGGGCACTCAAATAAATAAAAAAATAATCAGGAAAAAACTATGTTGTGATTGTACTTGTGGCTCAGTAGTCATGGGAATCTGTCACAGATACTTGGATATTAGGTGTGATTCAGTCATGCTAATATTCCAGGCAAGGTGTTAGAGCAAGATGCCCTAGAATTTTTACACAAGCATTTTGAGAAGTTCATGTGTTAGGAAAATGCAGGCGCCTGGTTCCCATGACTAACCTGAGTGAGATCTATTACAGAAATAGCCCTTTCATACTTTTCTGAAAAAAACAACCATCTCGTATCACATATGGTTTCTATTACCTTCGTAACTCATTGCACTGTGCACATTTCATTTTAGGCCTGAGTAGTCCATGTCTCTCCACTGGCTGTAACAAGAAATGGATTCTGCATTAAACAAGTTAACTGACAAGTGCTCCAAGACCTTGTTCAAGCAGCCAGGCAAAGTAAACCATATTAGAAATCTTTTTTGTTAAACTGTTTTAATAAATAATACCAACCTGTGTACTGAAGATGCATGGGGTGTCCTACATACAGCATGTCAATATGGGGTGGATGTTTTACCCTGATTAGCCTTGTTTGGTTCTCTAAAGAAGGAGTCACACAAAAGCTTGAAACAAAGTCTTTCTGGCAGTCCATGTTGGTTCGACAAACTTTGCTGGCCTCAATAACTTTTCGTGCTGGCAGACAGGCATACTGCAAAGGGCATTTAAAATGATTATCAAATTTAAAGGTATTTTCCAACAGATCAGAATAAAAGGTACTACATATTCCTTTTTAAAGCAAAGGAAGTGACTCACTGATGTACTACCAGCCCAAGAAGAGCTGAAATCTGGTTTTTTGGGTTGTTTTGTCAAATCCTGCAGAACCTCTACCTGATACATATTCAACCTGTAATTCCATTTTTGGTGGAATGTGGAAGAGAGGGTGTGCACATGTACCAAAATAAAAACTATTTTTAAAAAGGTACACACATGCACAACAAAAAAATCAAGACATCTTAACGTAAGTCAGCAATTTCTAATGAAAAGAGCCTGCATCAACATACTAGTGACTTACCTGTGTAAGGAGTTTTAGTATTCATTCATCTAAAACCTCATTTGGCTGAACAAAACCTTATGCTCAGCAAATAAACCAACAAACCTACCGGCTGTGTGGTAGCTAAAGAAACCACTCTCAACTAAGATGAACACAGGACTTACTTAATGCAGTGCTGTGTCCCAAGTGCTACTTATAACACTCTTTCACTCTGCAGTCTGAAAGACCAGATCTTTCTTGCTCCCCATACGCCAAAGAGTGTAGCAGAAAGGAACAGGAAATTGTTTTTCACGCTCATGTCTCTCGCAAAAGCTCAGTGATAATCTTCCTTTTATTCTTAAACACAAGTAAGGAAAGTTCTTCATCTACTGTTTGCCTTAGGCAAAAAAAAAAAAAAAAAAAAAAAGGATTTCTTGCTTCTTACCCTGATAGTTACACTCCCCATAGATGCATGAATGTCAGACACTCTCCATTAACCTCAATACAAGCTCTTTCTATTCTAATGAAGGAAAGAGGGCACACTTTCAAATACTGCTGCAGAGCACTGCAAAAACTATTTAAAATAATTGTTCAAATCTCACAGTCAGTCTAAGGACGCTTGAAGGTCACAGGCTTCTGGATGCTTTTATTTCTCCTGTGTTCCTAAGTAGCAGCTATGAACTTAAGAATGTCAAAGCTCAGTGGGACAGTGATTTATCAAATCTTGCTGAACTCCAGGATGTTACCAGCCACTGTCACATTTCAAACGAACTGCTGGTCTGTGCTCAATTCTCAATGGTTAAATATCACAAAAACACCCGGAAGTGGGAAGTTTACCATCACAGAAACTATAAATATAGCAGATGTAGGAACAGACTTATTTCCATTTCTTTGGGTATTTATCACTAGAGGTCAAAACAATAACAAAGTGGTATGGGTAGAAAAGTTTACAGAGTCTGTACTTGTGCTCTTTTTCTTGTAAAGAGAACTGTCAGAAATATACATCATTGTCAATAAGGATCAGGTACTTTAACAAACATTGCTGTACTTTGAAGAGAGTAAGTCAAAATCCTACTGAGAAAGGTTATGTTTCCATGTTACAAGAAAATCAACATGGTGAAAAAGAATCAAATGGAGGCCCCCTTTTTGAGAAACTGGGCAATCTCTAGGACGTTCTCTTGCATGTTTTTAGTTTAACCTACCAAGCAGCACTGCTGGCTTCAGACAAAATAACTGAACAGATAGTCCAGGGCTTGGCTTTGCCTGTAGTGCTCAGTACCTTTAAAGGCTGAAGCACCAAAATAAGGAATTTCATCTTGTTCTCAAAAGTTGTTTCTTCTCACCAGTATTCTCATCCACTGGTGAAAATGGGGGAGGTGTGCTTCTGCCTAAAGGAATGAGGGGTATAAGATCTTTTCTGGTTCTTCCAGAGACTGATTGATCATGGGAAAAATCATGGCTAATGCTTTGGGGTTTTAAGCTGTAAATGGGGAGAATAACGTAACACATATACCTTTATTACAAACTGCAGGTATTCTTAAGCACTTGAGTCCGCTGCATAAATGTTGGTAAATATTACTAATTTAATTTAAATAATTTCAGATTTACCAAACAGAATTAGCAGTTTAAGTAACTTACCAGGTGGCTGTCCAAGTTATTGCTATATGAAAAGCAAATGTCTGTGAGGCTGTTGTTACTACAACATTCAACTGTGCCATCGAGTCTCCTATAGACTAAAGAACATAGGCATAGAGCAAATGATCAATATTACAGTAACTTCCTGAAAAGAAATCAGTCTCTGAATAAAGTAAGACAATCATTCTGTAGCCTTCAAGAATTATAGTAATTCACAGAGGCTAGCTGTGCTTCAGTCACAATTAAAAATAAGCTTCACCACTTTAACAGTGTCACCTGATTTCAATCATGTCACACACTGATTTTTTCATCTCAGTAAATCTCCTTGAGATACTGGGGATCTACCACTGCCGTGTTCTGAGCATTATGAGTTATAAAATACTTTTATCTGTTGCCCCCAATTTGCATTAAGGTTTGGCATAGAAATTTGTTACCTGCTACTGTACTGATTTCACTGGGTGGCTCTGGAAATGACAAAGACTCAAAAAGTCCTCTTTAAAATGTGAAAGCCTTTACAAGATTCAAGATTTGAAAGGTTTTGAAGCCTTGAAGGCTGCAGCAGTGAATAAATTATGTTTTAAACCGTGATTTAGTCTGGTACAGAATCTTTGTATGACTGTTCTTTAAATGAATTCAATCTAACTTACTCTACAACAACAGCTTTTAAAGAAAACCCACAAAAGAATAGTAACTGTAAGAATCTGTGTCACAGCAACACAGCAGTACCTTCCTTAGGTAGATCAAGCCTGCCATACTGGTTGCTGATTTATCACTGCATAACCTGCAGTCCGCTAACATGGAGCTTTATGCCTGGGGCTTACAGGTGCAAGCACTGTACCGTACAATCCTTTTTTCAAGTACCCTGAGGCTAACCAACCACATATATTTTTGAATAGTGAATGACCATGAAATTAGTTTCCTTATAAACTACACTGAAAACACTTTTTTTTTTTCTTAATTTCAAGAAGGTCCTTGGGGCATTGTTTTCTGTCTAGCTTCATACTCAGATAGTTTACTCTCCATTCGTTTTATGTTCAAGTAGATAGGGTCCATTTGCTTGATACATTTTTATTGATATCTGTATTTATGTCAAGTTGTGAACTGTCAAAATTTTGACAAATAACAGCTGCGAGTGACCGAACAGAGTTCATTTAATTTCAGCGGAATATTCCTCACTGCTGGAGGCTTATGGCTATGAAAATGCAGACAGACTGGTCTGATTAGAATGCAGCAGTGGGACAATGGGCTGCTAACACAATACAGCAACCAAGCTTGGAAGCAATATTGAGTCTCTAGTATTAAGTCTCTAGTATTTCAATCTAAATAGGACTGGTCCAATTGCAGAATATGCAGTTTTATTATCCATGACTCTGAAACTGCATTTCAGAAATCAGCAGAAGCTGAGCATATATACCTAGAGCATCTAAGAATTGGTTCTTACTTGCCATCCCTGCCCAGCTGAAAGCATGTGCCAAAGTTGCCCTCCTCTTCAGAGGGATAGTCCAAACTGTTAGGTCTCTAAAAGCAGGATCTTACACATACTCCGCTAGTTTCCAGTTTAAATATTTATATTAGTTCCAGCTGTAAGATTACTTTCCTTACACATCAAAAAAAATAAATTACCTTTTCAGTCTCACAAGAGAACTATAATGCATCATAAAACACGGGTAGTCGAGCTGGCTGACCTCCTGTTTACTTCCAGTATGATGGAAAAATGCAGTGACAATTTTAAAGCTCTGAATAACATCATACAGGCTTTGCTCAGCAGCAGTCCCTTACCTTTGGAATTCAGTCTCCATGGATGCTTGCATGAAACAAACTCTAGGAGAGCTTTAGGGCATGTCACAAGACATTCAGCCAATTTAACTTGACTGTTCTTTTTTGTTCTACTTAATTTTTGTTTATTGTTCTAGTTTAGTTCAGTCAACTTTTTTTTTCCCTCTTTCTCAGGGGTAAGCTGTTACAGCAACAAGCACTCTAATGTATAAATGAAAACAGAAGGAAATAGACTGAGTTGTAGAAGCAATACGTGCAATCCAGACAAAACTGAGTTTATGGGCAATGACATTGTGTGGTTGAAGAAGCAAATGAAACATAAAACCCGTATAGTGAGACACGTCAGAAGAAGTGGCCGTAATAAAGCACATCATTGGGTTAAGCCATACAATTTGTAATGTCATGCTGATCAAAGCAGTAAGGTAACGTGTGGAATTTACATCTGCAAAAGATCACTGAGTTGATCCATATAGCTGAACTAAAGATAGAGGAGACAATTGTATTATCTAGTAACCAAGTTATGCAATAACCTGAAGAGGCAAATTTCATTATTCAGATCATACAGGATATTTGTATAGGATGACTGGAAGACCAGAGAAATTCTATCTACCTCTCCCTCACTTTCAGATTCCACAAAAATGAATGGCATATTGGTCACTGCTTAAGACAGGATAGCAGAGTTGACTCATGAGAAATCTGTCCCCACAACAAATCCTAAATCCAAAATAGTCTTTAAGACATGATAAAATATAAAATAATGAAGAGAGCACCTAAAGTCATACCTCTAGCTGGAAAGCTTAATTGCTGTAGGGTGGCTGCACTTATACAGTAGCCAACCTGTGACTTCTCTGAAATGTCTCCCAGACAGGAATTCCAGTCTTCCACACTATAAACTGGGCAGTCTTGTAGGTTAGTGACAAGGTCTCCCACAAAAAGACCTCTTGGTCCATTGGCAGGAGAATCCTGAGAAGAAACAGTGAAGTCAGTCATATTATTATAGCTAAAACTACAAGGATTTGTTTACAGTTCTGCCAAATAGCAATGAAATATTTAGGTTAAGACGCTATTTCCACAGAAATAGAAAATCTCAGGCTCCACTAGAATTGATTATTTCAACTTATGATAGAGCATTACAAAGATGACATCCTGCAAAAAGAATAACTTATTTATTGCAAAGAGAAAGAAAAGAATAGGGCAAGTCTCCAAGTGTTTCGGGGGACCTCTTCATATTTGAGTAATTTTTTTTTTTCATGCAAGCTAATATGTTGTGGTTTTTCCCACCATTTTAAGTTGAAGAATCTTAAACTAATACCCTGAATCTTTCAACAAAGCAGGGTGTACATATACTTTCAAAGGTATAAAGCATAATAAATGTCACTCTCCAAGTTCTATCAGTTCACTTTCATATCCAAGAAAGACTGAATCCTTTCAGCTCTGCTGTTCAACTGTGCTGTATTTGATTAAGTCAGAAAAAAATCAGTCCTTCCCAGAAACTCAGCAGTCTATCTTTAGTTTGCTTCCAGCTGACCAAACAAGCAAGGAAATCAGCTCAAAATAATCTTTAACATTAAAAACAGATAGCAATAACTGGAGTGATAATGCAGTTTTCATTAGATTTACTTGGTGCCAATATTGAAAAGAAGTTAAAAAAACCCACCCAGAAATAAGCCTGCAAACTCATCTCAAATGTCTAAACAGTTCTATAGTATGCTCAATAGTCTACCATTATTCATGCCATGTTCCTTCATTTACTAATACTAGAAAACCTGAGACTGAGAAGGAAGCTTTAAGCAGACAAAAAGTGCCATGTATCAGATTCTGCAGAGTGCTGCACTGACCAAATTTGGCTGTGATAATAAGAGACACAGGTACATTTCAGGTCACAAAGCATATAATATGACACCAGTAAAGATCTTTTCTTACCTCCGCGACCTCAGTGACAAGTGCCCCGACACCCGTGTAATAGAAAGGGAAAAGAATGGCTGGCAGCAGAAACAAACCCATGAAACTTGCAACACCAAGAACAAAATTATGCCACACTCCTAAAAAGAAGGAAAAAAAAAAAAATCATGTTTCTAAATAAACACTAGTAACAAAAAGGGGTTTTTGAAATGCAAGATTCTACAGTTACCTTCTAATTAACCTCCCTGAAATAATTACTGTAAGAATGGATGAAAAGTTAATTTGTGAACATAGGCAGGAAAGAAGTATATGTGTATTACTTCACAAACTTAAGTTTCTATGGTGTGACTTTGTAGGGGAGTTTTAGAGAAGCCTCTGAAACCCTGAGAATTATACTATCAGAAAAGACAGAGAAGTGGTAAATACATTTTTAACGTGTTATTCTACCATATTGATATTTCATCACATAACACTACTTTTCCATGTAGTATGCAGTGGGCAGAATATCCAGAAAAAAAACTGGGCTTCTGAATCAATTCTTAAACTACAGTTTCTATCTACAGAGCTGTCATCAATCATAAATATTAAAAAACTAGTGGAATGAAATGTATTAGTTTTCACCTTCTACCACAATGAACTGTTGAATTTAATAATCTTAATCAATGGGCTTATATGTGAATAAACACTGTTTGTCCTAGTCAGCAAGATGGATGAAATTTAGTTGCAACTCAGTATTCTTCATGGTCATCTCCATTATATCCATGAAAATAATTACATGTATATGTGTCAAACAAGATTAGAAAATTATTTGAAAAAAGGCTCCTTTTACAAGAAAATCTGGACGTAAAACCACATCAGGAAACTAAGTTGTGCAATCAGCATTTCCTGACACATTATTTTGGACAACGTATTTTCATTTGCAATCTTTACAGTATGCTGTTCTCCATAGGAAGAAATGAATTGCTGTCATAAGACACACTTGGCTTCCTTCAACATCCAGTGCTACACAAATTTTCTCATTTCATTTGTGTTCTTGGACAAACATTTTTGTATGACCAATGCAGGAAAACTCTGGAATGTTGAGGACTCCTTATTTCCTTCTTACAGTGCTTCATCTTGTTAAGAGGGGTTTGATTCAGTTCTATATTTACAGTACAGTTACAGGACAGGAACTGAAGTAAATATATTTAAAAACATATTGAACCTATCTTTCTTCCACTGTATATAACACAGGAATCATAACATAACTCCTACTTCCCCTGGCTATCTCTACATGTTGCCTGGTCTTCTTTTACAATGTTTCTGATGCTGCAGAAATGAAAGACATTTTTGGAGTACTTCAACTAAGGGTTTGTTGCCATTAGAAGAAGCCTAGTAGAGAAAAGAGAAATCGCTTTAAGAAGCATCTAAGTTTTTATTCATCTCATTGAAAGGCAATCAGATAGATAAAATGTTTCAGCATGCAGTTCTCTATCTCACACATATACATATACATGTACACACACACACACAAGTGCAACAAACCCCAAAGTGTTAGGTAAACATTTTAACTTAATTGTTTTAACCTTTTTATCTTAAGAATAAACTTTATTTTTTCCAGCTTAAGAAATCATCAAAATCTAAGACGGAAACAAAATTCCATTGTAACAGTGTGGCTGCTAGAAAGAGTAAACTGAAAAAAAAATTAAAATAAAATAAATTAAAAAAAAGAGGTGACGGAACTGCTGGAGGGTGACAAGGAATACTTCCAAACAGCTAGGAAAACATGGGCCTTCATACCATAATCTACACAGTTTGCTGTGTGGAATACAGCAGGAAAGTCTAAAATAGAAATGCTTCAAATCCATCCCAGGCAATCCACAGAAAAATAAACTGGCTCAAAATAGAATACTTGTAAAGGCACACTGCTGAGTATGCCATCAATTTCATTTTGCTAAAACAGCCTCATCCCTGGATACCTAAGTCCTTATATTTAAAAAGGAACACTTTACACAACCCTTAAAAGCCCTTAAAATAATGTTTTAAAAATCTTTAACTCCTTTTTCTGTTAAAGACAAAACGTATTAAAAAGGATCTCAAAAAGTAATACGAATATTTGAACTAATTATAAGAAAGTGCTGCACGGACACACTTTTCATGTACTAGGCATAGAATTAATGCAAAAAGAATCAAGTCTTACAAGAACGCTCATTCACTATTCTTGAACTCATGATGCCATCTGCTGTACAACGAATATACTCTTTAATCTCCAGAGTATAGGTGGGATATAAAAGGAATATTTGGTGTCGTTCTCTACTCTAGCTCTTTTACTTAGCTGCCACACAAAAATCTGAAAGCATATCTCTGTAAAGTCAGATCTTCAGAACACTGAGAATAGGTTCATTCAACAGCTCTGACAATTAAGAAAAACTGAGTCAAGTTTACTGCATATCACATTTTATCATTATCAGACATCCTAATTACGAAACATACCTATCATTAGCTGTAAAAAAATGCATATATTTATTATACCTAACTGATAACAAGCCATTGATGCTAACCACTCTTGCAACATGCTTGTTCCTATTGTATTCCCCTATTTCAGGTTTCCCAAGAAACCTGAAAATTATAGGTGTTTGCTTGTCATCAGAAACATGCAAGCAGTTATTTTCTATTATGGCTTATAATCTTTTTTTTCTAGATGATTTCTCAGGAATGTATGTAAGCAACCCATTTTGAAAAGTGGTATGTCTTCTCTTTCAGTTCTGTTCACAGTAGCTGAAAATGGAAATTGATTTGTTTGAGAAAGAGGGCTTCATAAAAGTTAGCCTACTGCAGTAAATGATTTTGGTTCATTAGGGTATTTGGAATATAGATATATTTACTTACCTAACATTTATCATAATTTACTTGACTTATGAAAGCTTGAAAATATGCTTTGCTAAAGGCTTCTGGACTCCCAGCCTAAACCCCTCTATATAATGTTTTAGTTTTAATATTCAAGAAACAATGTTAGTATCTAAACATTACAACAGGCTGGCTGCCGTCCTACTGTCTCCTGCAATAGAAAATCATCAGTATCAAGATCCAAACCAAGATGCTAACTTTTCTATCTTTATTTCAGTGGTTTGGGAACCACCTTTGTCTCTAGAAATCAGTAATACAAGTGATTCAGTAGCGTAACACAGTCTCAGTCTAACTTTCCACAGCAACAGGGCTCTACTTCCCAGTAGCCAGAGACTTCAAAAAACATCAAATCAAAAACATTTGGCGGTTATTTGGAGCCAAAAGCTGTGATTCTCTTTGGATGTTTGTGTTTTAGCTTTTATTTTCTCCTGATGGCAACATCAAAACACAGTGACCTGTATAATAACATAACTCACTTGTCACTGAAAATCACTCACAATACTATTGAAAAATCACATAATAGATTGGTCTTGTTGCAGAAAACGGTAGTGAATTGCTCAGGGGTGTTCACCTGTGACAGCAAGTGATGTTCTCATACTACCAGTCTTCTGGCTGAGTATTTTCCAGCTTGTGTGCTCCAAGGTTTTGCTACTTAGGCAGTACGCATCATAAAACAAAACAAAAAAGCTTCCTCACCTGAGCTGGTGTAAGAGCTTATTCTAATGAGAGAGAGGAAGGTCACAAACCACACTTCTTCCCCAAGCACACAACTGGAATTTCTTATGCACAACTATTTTGAATCAGATCTAGGACATAGTAACATTTTTCATGACAGGAAATTGGTACTCATTTAAGCTCCTGGAAACTGTGTCTCCTCCAGTAAACAGCACAATATGGACAATAATGATCAAGTGATTTTCTGAAATCACAATTTAGATTCAGAACAGAAGGATCACCTTTAGGTAAAGGGAAGCTTTTGTACTTCTTCATTTTAAACCTTCAATCCTCCATCAAGGATTCACAAATGATGCCCGTAGAATAAGTAACTGTGCTAAGCAAAGACTTAATAAAAAAGCACAAACTATTACCTGCACAGAATATCCTTAATTGCTGGACTGGAGATATCAGTTGCAAGTGGGTTGTGAACAGGTCAACAAATGCTCCAGGATAGACAATGAAGATAAAAATCCCAAATCCATTAAATCGTACTTGTTCTCTTAAAAAGAAGAAAAGAAAAATGAAGTGGTGTTACTGTAAACAAACAAAAGAAAAACTGAGAGATTCTACATAGTGCACATATTTTTGACAATGACAATAATTAAAATTATAATTATAAAACAAACCTAATTTTTCACAATACGAATAATTGAAAGATAATTAAACTAAAGGATGTTTTCTGCAGTAGTCATCACTTTTAAGCAGCACACATTTGTAAGCCTGGTAAAAAACAAAGGATAAGTTCAACTTCTTTTCTGTCTCCTGGTAGCAGCAACTCATAAAATACTTAAAAACCCCAAACTACTTTCAAGTCAACATATTTTTTAACATTTGGGGGATTTTTTTCTTTTAAGTAAAAAAATGGCAGCCTGTAGGATGCAGTGTCAAACTAATCTATGAAAAATTATCTGGAAGAAGCAATCACTTTCCTTTTAAAGAAACACTTACAGATTTCTGGAATTTGTAATTTCTCTGTTTCTCCTAAGTGAAATTTAGACTAAACTGTAAACTAACAAAAATGAGATGTCATAACAAAAATGACATGTGTTCTGAAAAAATGAAAACAAGTCAAGAAGTTAAAAGGACAAATGCTATTTAAAATATATTAGTAGCTGACACTGTCGTACAGATAATATATATACATTTCAGAGGTTTTACAATTGCCTTTAAATGGCACTTTTTGGAATAACTATGTAAAGGTTTTATGAAGCTAGAAATTTCATAAGGGACTTATAGGGGCATGACAACCATGTTCCAAGACAATTACATTCCAATTATTATTCCAAGACAGACCAGGCATGGATCAGCTAATCCCATATCTTTACTGAGACAGTACACTGGGCATAGTATTTTATTTATTCACATTTATTTATTTATTGTGCATATACATTAAAGACGACACAGAATTATGCAAAACTAATCAGAATGAAGTAATACATCAATTCCCCAGAGTAAAGTCATCAGACACACCCATGCTACCAATTAGTAATAGGCAGTCTAATGCCTATACATGATTTCATGACTTGGGTAGGAGGTACAGAGGAAAGAAGAAAAAGGCTTTTTTGGCACAAGCCTTGACTAAGCTAAGGCTCAACTATTTTAAGCTCTTGTAGTTCACAGCCAATCCTATCTTGAACTGAAGTTGGCGAAAGTGTATTAGATTTCAGGGAGTCAAAGTGATTTGCCAGAATAGTAAAACTTGCACACAGCACAGCTATTTAGTAAAGCCTAAACCCTGAGGATTGACCACAACAGCACTATAGACCCAACCTGTGCTAGGAGGAAGAAAAAAAAAAAGTCAAGCCGAAAAGAGCAACAGCAATGTATATTGGACAAACTAATTTCTCCCCTGGAATAGCCAGGAATCAATTTTTTGACAAAAATATAATCCAAGCTTGAATATTCAGAGCATTTGCTCCAGATCTTGAATGAAGATATCACACCACTAAGGTGTAAGAATTATTCATTCTGCTTAAAAAGAGCTCTGTAGTTACTCCTGGCTTCTCTGCAGTTAGCCAGCAACATGTGAAGGCACTGCAAGAGAATGGAAATTTTGTTGCTTCTTCTTGTGGTGGGTTGAGCAAGAGCTTCATCCTCCACAGAAAAATCCCTGTGGATATTAGGGGAAAAAAGCTGAGAGACAAACAGAGCATATGAAACACAGAGGGTCCCAAACCAGCCCTTTAATTGAGAACCTTTGGGGTTATAAAAAAAGGTAGTAATGGGTTAAGATGCAGTCATGACTCCCTACACTCATGAAAATCAGAGAAACAGCTTAGGGCTTCACGCTCATGGGACACATAATGACAATGTCCAGGAGAAATGCAGAGGACACCTGAGTATCAGTCCCAGTAACCACCACTTAACCTTCTTATGCTAGAGTGTCATTTAACAGTAACAACTAAGCATGTCAGATAACTTCTTTGTGAAGTAATCATCCTAGTTAAGTGACATTAAAAGTATCATCTTTGATGAAAACTAACACATCACTGAGACTAATAGGGGCAAATCACATTTGACTGAGTTACTGCTTCAGCCTGTTTGTATGCTACTTCACAAGCTATGTTTAAACAAATCAATTTAAAATCTATTTTAAAGTACCATTGTGCAATAGCGCACAGGTCCTCTTCAAGTGCCACAGCTGCAGAAATGCAATTGTTGTGTGAAAAACATGACCACTTTAAAGAAGTATTATTTTAAACCTGAGGCAGCATGGTTTATTTGCAAAGCAGAAGTCCTTTCTCATGATCTGTAGAATAGACACTACATTAAAACTCTATCCTTAATTGTACGCCCTTCCAAACCTAAAATCTAAGGAAACTATGAAACACAGAATAAACAGACTCTGTAGATAAACTGAAGCAGTGCAAACAACATTCACCTGTAAGCACATGCTCTGGAATATTAGGCTTTGTTGGCACATAGAAAGAGAAAAGTAATTTGTATTACCGAATAGCTGCCACCCCATGGCCGACTTCATGTATCACACCGCTGATGAGGATTGCAGAGAAGAAATAGGTCAGCTGGCTGACAGGCAAGTTTACACCAGGCACCTGTTGATGTGGGCATGACAACAAAACAAAACACAGGAGGAAACCAAGGGGTACAAAGACAAATCATTCTGCCCCTAAACTTGCTGCTCTCACTCAGCTTCTTCAGACCCGCAACAGAATAGGGGCTGTTCTCATGCAGCTCTATCAGCTTGTACCTCTTCTCCCAATTTATTCAATGTATTTTAAAATATATTAAATATATATTCTTTTGTTGAAGGCTGAAAAGCTCTCCAGGCACAAAAGCCTTCTCCCCGCCCTACTTATTCCCCACAGCCCTGACAGAATGTGTCCTACTCTATATTAAGCTCAACAAGTTTATAAAAATGTACACAGACTTCCACTCAAATGAAACAGGCTTGGCAACTGTGAGCATTAGTTGACATTTCCTGCAGCCAGTCATGTAGCTATGGAGAAGATCCACCCTTCAAAAAAACCCTAAAAAGACTTGAGCCCTAAAAGTTCAAGTTGGTGGAATGTAGAAGAGAGGGTGTGCACATGTACCAAAATAAAAACTAACTATTTTTAAAAAGGTACACACATGCACAACAAAAAATTTAGGGCTCAAACGCTATGAGCCCTAAAAGTTCAAAAAATGAGCCTACAACTGGAACTGTCAGTCTCCCTTCTCTCTTGCTATCCAAATCATGAGACTATCCCAAATTTACAAGGCCAAAAAAAGGGTAACTTTTGTCTATTGTTCAAGTTTTGGCAGTCTACATACGGCAATTTAACCTTTAAAAAAAGCACTTGAAATGAGTGTACTATTTTGATTTACATAAGACATAATATGCAGTCCCCTCGCATTCCTCCTGTTGCTGTGGATTCCCAGCACTCCCCAAGTCCTTCCCTGTACTAGTCATGAGACACCGGCTGCTTCCAGACGGGCTTCAAAGCAGTCACGAGTCAGAGAAGGAGGAACCATCCTTCTCTTTCCTCCTGAGGGACCTTTCTCCTGCTCGGTTCCCATCCCCGCTCAGCCACCGTGCTGCAGCGGGATGATAAGGCCACTTCTGCCACTTGCTCTGCGACAGGTCTCCCATCTGCTCCGCAGCTCTCCCCGCTCGCCGCAGGGCACGCTCCGCTGCAGTCACTAACACCTGACGTGAGCACAACTTCCATTGCAGTCCAGTGGCAGAAGAGAGATGCGAGGGGTAAAAATTCCCGGCCTGCCTATAGGACTCTCTAAAAGCTGCCCTTGTGGGACACAAAAGGATGCAGATCCAAGTGAGCAGGCCCCATTCGATTCTACCTTCATGCGGTCCCGCACATTCCTCAACTGTATGCATGCACCTACCCGTGCAGCAGAACTCTACGATAGGTCGGTGAGACAACCTAGCTAAAAGAAATCCTTCAAAAGACTGTTTTCATTAATGTTAAGCTGAATAATTTCACAAATTCTGTCCACAGCGTGATCATGACCGAGCTATTTATCTTAACGGGCACGACTATCGTACCTCGCTGTAGGAAGACAGCGGCTCTTCATTCATTAAGCATCCACCAAATGTATTACAGCATCAGCTGGTGGCACTAGTGCATCAGTTAACTGGCCTTGCCAGTGGCCCTCTGCTCCAGGCATGCAGGAGGACAGACAGCAATAGCAAGAGTTGTCTTAACACCACCATCACGATAGCCCGTTAGAACACAGCCCTGGACGCTTCCAGACTTCACGTCCAAGAAGCTAGTTTAAGATTCACCTAAAAGGGAAGCTAACTCTTATGAAGGGTTCTGAAATAAATAGCTGTATTTTGCTAATAAGCATTGTCATCTTATATTTTATGGCCTTCTGGAAATGCCTTTAGTAAAAGAGGATCCTTTGCTAGTAACTGATCTGCCTCTTTCCCACTTTTGTCAACAGGCAACCAACACAAGAGGGGGCAGCTGAAGAAAAACAGCCCAGTTGCCTACAGATGGGTGTTTTATATAAAGTACATGACTGAACAAAAAAGGAAGGGTACAAAAATCTTAATCAATAAAACATAAGCAGAACAGTATCTCCCTCTCTCCATAGCCAAAGGCTAAAGGCTAAACAGATTCATGCCACAGGCTAAAGTTCAGTTAAAAAAACCCCAACTTGCTCTCCTCCAGGCAGTCAAATACAAATAACTAATTTAAATGAGGAGAAGGTCCTCCTGACTTGTTCTGCACCTCTTTGCAATCACACATGGGTCACGTTTTTGTGTCAACTTATGCTAGCACATTCCCCTCAAAAAGAATACTGAAACACTTTTAAAGGCAGAATTATACAACTGTGACCATTCAGAAATGAAAGAATGAGGTAGGAAAGAAAGAGAACCACGAGTCATCTTAGGAGAAGTAACCTTCTCCCCATACATCACATTATCCCCATACATTACATCTTTTTCAGTACCAGTCTGTCCTTTGTTTGAGTGCAGTGATACTGCCAGCAGGCAGTCACTGAGGAATCAATTCCACATTGAAACTGTGAACATTATCCTAGATTTCTGCTTTCACAGTTCCAATTCACACCAGATTAATTCCAAAGGCTCACCTTTACTTTGGTTGCCTCTATGTTATTTTCTCCAAAGAGCAATATATTGCAATTGACCGCTTTGGTGTCACAGAAGTGGATCGATCCATATAACGATCTCAGGAAATGAAGATGGAAGGCAGACATACATGCTTAGGATAGACTCTGTTGGCATGTAAATTAACAATTTTCTGTCTCATGCCTAACCAGTGCTCTACTGGACGCAGAGACTGCCTGCTCCTGTCTGCTTCTGGAGATCATTCAGGAGCAGGCTGTGGAGCAGGGGACTGCCCTGGCAGTATCAGCAGTTCTCTCCCAGGTCTTGTTGCCTGCTTTTGCCAACACATACCGCCTTTGCTGCGTTCACCCTGCATGTGTGAGACAGACCCAAACCGTCCCAAAGGCACCGAGTTTATGGCACCTGCCAATGATCAGGCTTCCTGCACTCATGCAATTTAAGTCTAGCTGCACGCAGTCAGTTTAGCGCTTAGAGGAAGGCCTACCACGGCAGCACACAATTCCCAATTTCTGTTCGCTAGACGAGCTGAGTATTTAAATAGAGGAAAATGGTTGGGCACCCCGGCTTTAGGCCATGCAGCAGAAGGCAGAGCAATCTCAGAGGACTTTCTGCATTTCTGGAAAATGACCATACATTCTGGCCAGATAGCACTCTTGGGGAAATAAGGGTGGCTAGGAATCCCTCCAGGTTAAAAGTGTTGTAAGGCAATGTCAGTTCTTCCACTGCTGCCTTGCGCAGAGATAAAACAGAGAGTATGTGCAATCTCTCCCATTCTGTGAAATACATTCCTTTCTAAAACCACACAATATATTGTCCAGCATCAGAAATCCATAAAACAATTAAATACATTGTTATTAGGCCTTTGACTAGATACTGCCAGAAACAGCACTTTCAATTTCACACTGTAAATTAGGGCGTAAGTCCTTGAACAATCAAAAAATATGCCATCTCTTCACTGATGAATCTTTGCTTCCACTATCACACAAAGCTCTTTACACTTCTTTCCTTTTCCACTGATGTTTTTTATTGTAATAAATGAAATAGAACAACTCTCTTCTTGTGGATTATGCATGTGCTCTGCAAACTTTAAGGCCACCAGTGCTGCTACATTGCACAGCTCAGAGCAGGCAAATTCTTAGCTCCATTTTGTATTCTTAGTACTATAATAATTTAGGGCTTTTCAAAATTACTAACCAGCTCTCACTCCTGAGAATTTTTAATATAAACTCTTCCACATGTTTGTCTTCATTTGCCTTCCCCTGTTTTACTACCTCCGCTCCCCATTTTTAAGGCTGAAAACAAACCAGCAAATTTTTATGTAGATGAATGTCAGGAGTTAGGTTATTCTTGCATGGGAGAATTTAAGCATCACATACTCCATTAGGAGGCTGGTTAAGATCAGTTCACAACTCTCAAATAAAGACCTGAGGAGAGAACACTTACCACAACTTGCAGCATACGATCATTCTGGGCTTTCGGTGCTTCGGTGAGCATCTGTGTCAGTGTTTGCATCAGTGTCTTTCCGAGAAGAATAACAGAGCCAAACATGGCAACGATACCAAACACCATTCCTATGCTGAACCTATAAAGAGAAGCAAATAGTTTAGCAGTGCATAGCCGCAAGAAGATAGGGTATATTCTCCGAGCATGTAACTGCTTCAGCACAACTTAGCACACCAAACTCATAGGGCAAAACTTATCTGATGCTACTACCATTCATGTATCAACAATCCAGTACAAAATATTAGCTAAAGGAAACTAGTAACAATAATAAGATATACTAATAACATTGACTAATAACACATAATATTTTCCTTGTTTAATAAATGTTTTGCATCTAAACTACATCCTGATTAATTTTCAAATATTTTTATGTTGTTCTTACACGTTCTAAATTTTATTCAGTTACCCAATACATGTAACTTGCCTTTAGCTATGAATATAAAAACTTCACTAACAATGTACAATGTACCATGTTGCACCACACCATCAGATAGCTAAAGACCTGGATCAAATGATACATATTTATTTATATAACCTTTTTCAATAAATTTTGCATCTTCCTTACAAACAATAAAAAGAGCTAAAGACCAATAAATGAGACTCAGCCTTTTTTAAAGAACAACAACTAAAAGGTACAACTACAAGACCAGATTAAAATCAATTACTTAAAAAACATTGTCCTTCTCACCAATTTATTTTTCATTAAAATCTGTGTTGAAAATCATTCAATTTACATCAGTCCACCTAGTGGTGAATTTTTATTCAGTGTTGTTATTATTATTTTACAATGTCCAATAGTTGAAGGATGTGAAAAAGTTTATTTTCTAGCTAAAACACTTCAATTCACTACCAGTCCTTCTTCCTCTCACAATACCATAACTGTTCTCTTACCACCCTTAAAGCCCACTGGGAATTAGTAGATTTATTTTAAGCAACATGTACTTGTAATGTTAATTAAAGAGACTGGTGGAAACGTTATACTGTAATAAATTATACGCATTAAAAAATTGTGATTGATATAGAACTATTTCAGACTGAAATAATAAAAGCACTACATACAAGAGAAACACATGTGAAACAGACCTCTCTTATTACTATCTCACTGAGCGTAGCAATATAGGAAATGAAAAGAAATTCAAACCTTACTAATTTTATATTTTCAGAGCAGATATAAAGTAATGCTAGGAAGGCAACTGAGGCAATAGTTTTCTAAACCAGTCCAGGAGCACCCATACCAACCACCCTGCTTACTTACCCATGCCCAGCAACCAGTCTGTGCAATCTTAGCAGGGAAAGGTACAGGCATATAAAAGACAGAAGGTAAGCAATGTGCTCTCAAGCAGGGACAGCTTCTGAATGTTTGGGCAACAACTGACAACAGAGATGCAACTGTCTTTGAATACTTTGTAAACTCTAGTGATCAGGGGAGAGCTCAGTGTACAGTGATGGACAGATCTAGGACATGAGAAGCTGCTTTCAGACCTACTTCTGTATGCAGCATTACATGTGATAGCTGTACTCTTCAGAATTGTGTATAGTTCAAACCATAGGTAACAATAGTTTACAGATTTCTAGTTTTATAGCATTTCAATATGCAATCTATATTACAGCTATGTATTTTTTAGCAGAGGAGAAAGACTTGAACTGGCACAGTACAATTACAGCAACCACACTGGTTTGGTTTTATCATTAGCCTGGTGGAATAACCATGTCTATCCATTGCACTTTTAAGGCTGAAAGGCACAGATGTGGTTAAGTTGTTGACTCTGTATTTGACAGAGGAAAAAAAATCCTGAATTTATACCATAAATACAGAAATCTGGGTTTCCATCTCCCCCAGTTGTAGAACTGGCGGTTGAAGAGAGCTGTTTGCCATCGCATGTGAAAAGGAGAGACGCTCAAGCCGTATGTCAGCAGCCAGTCTTCATAAGATGCCTTCAGAGAGTTGGATGACTGCAAAAGAATGGAAAATTAGTTTAGCCAAAAACGTCTAGGATGATTTTGTGTTACGTGACCAAGCAGTAAACGTGATCTTTTTGTATATAAATGGATGTATAACTTCAGGTAAATGTCCTGCACTTTATTTATATTTTGACATATAGGTAGGTATGGGGTGTAATATGAAAACGTTATGCCACTGTTTTGATGTAAATTGCAACAGTTCTAGGATTGCAAGAGAGATCGGGTATCCAATTTGACAAAGAAGATCTTGTATCATCTTTCCTAGTGTTAAAATCACTTTCAGTAGGTTTTAACTGTCTGGTTAGAAGGCTAAGGACTGAACTGTTTATGGTATTTTTTCAACGTGAAATTATATTCCAGTAAACATTTTAAAAACTACAATAGAGAAAAAGGCTTCTTTTGGTTTCAGTTGAAAAAACTTTCTAATATCGGTGAGATATGGATCAGTACTGTGGACACCCTTTAGTGAGGGTAAAAATAAGGTCTATTTTTCAAACACAAAGACTATGTCTAAAAAGACTCTGAAATATTTGATCATACTAACAAAAAGCAGAAGGAATTTAAAATTATCAACCTCTAGAGCAACAGCGATTTCACTATGATAACTTCCCAGCATTTCAAGATACTACTGCTAGAATGCCTTGCTACTAGTTGCAAAGATTTCTCTTTATGAGAAAAGCAACCTATAAGCTATATGATTAATACTTATCTGCAGTATTATCTGATATTATAGACCGAGAGACATAGTTTTGCAATCGCTACTTTATAGTACATGGCACTTGTCTTCTCAATAGGCTTTACTCAGCCTGTTTCATGGAAGCTAGTATCAGAAACTCAACTGAAGGAATGCTTTCCTTGGAGGTGAAAAAGGAGCTCATAGCTCAGGAAAAGCACACCAGAGCTTTGAGCCTTCCGACTTTGAGCAGTTCCCAAGGCAGGAGTGTCTCTTGACATAATCCAGACAAGTCTTTGGAGCTGTCTGAACTGGAGCATTGTTCCCCAGTTTCCCTATGAGTTCTAACCTGAGAAGTAAATGGTATTTATAGAGATAAAACATCAATATAGAAATAGGCATGCACTTAAAACATCTTCAACTTAACTCTCAGCATTTACATTTTCAAGGAAAGTTAAATCTGATTAATTAGACAGATTCTTGAAAGGCGCGAAAAATGGGATGTTAATTTATATGGGAAATTGCTTATTAAATGTTGTTTTTATTTGGGAAAAAAGATGTTCAGAGTGGGGAACAGTTTCACCTACTGAAGACATGGGGAATGCGTAGTGCACAAGAGGCTCCCTCCTCCACCCCCAAGAGGAACTTCACCAGTTTCTGGCTGTCCTCCATGGTTCTTTTAACAAATTTAGAACTTGCCAAGTTCCTTGCATTCCTCCCGTCCTGCTGCGGTAGTGGTGGGGAGTGAGGATCTCATCTGGCACAACTATATTCATAGCTTTTCTCATTTTGTTGAATTAATTAAAATGTGAACACTAAAAATTTATTTCAAGTAACAATTTTCCTAGGACACAAGACCCATTTACTCAGGTCATTGTTCATGTATCACCTATTACACCACTTATCCTTTCTGCCTGTATATTTGTCTGCCATTTCCTTCTTCTTCACCCTACTGATTTCAGCCACATTTTTGTTCAGTCAGCTGAGGGCAATGACAGAAGTTTTCATCGTGATGTATTCCCTCATCAACACCAGTCACTCCCTATGACACCACTCGGTTTAGTGTCCACAACTAGATCAGCATTTGCTGACCCAGCATTTGCTAACTTTAACAGATCACAAAGATGATTACACTTGTACAATTAATAATACGTAAACCAAAGAAAGAAAAAGACGTCCTCACATGATCTACCAGATAATTAAGATCAAAAATACGTATGACATTAAGTACCTCTGACAGAGAAACTGCCTTTTGGGAATTAAGTGCATCCCATTCATTCACATAGAGTCCAAAAAAACCCCAACCAATCACATATTATTATAATAAAGCTAATTGGATATATTGATTTGGCACTTTAAAAATGTGTTCCTTTTATCACATGCAAAACCCACTTTTTCCCTAGAAATGCCACAAATTCATTCCAACCATACCACAGCCCCACTGTACTAGCAAGGCATAAATAAACATGAAGTTTTTCATGAGAAATAAGGGATTACTGACCACACATTTGCCAAATGGGGAAAAAAAAAAAAGAAAAGGCACCCAAATTCATTTTCCTTTTGCATTTTCCTCACAAGGTGTGTAAATGGTATTCATGATCACTAAATGACGGCATCCCTTTGCAAAATATTAAAAAGCTCTCTGCAAACTTTTGCTCCTCCTGTCCTGAGCCCAGTAGCATCACCACATTACCACATGCACCCTCAGGCCCCAGTATGATGTGTGACAGTATCCTATGTTTCATTTCAAACTTCCTCCACACAGACCGTAGCTCTTGAGTTCTAAGTGATCTTTGTTATATTAATTTTACTATAAAAGCAATGCCTTTTTTATTTATGCAAGCCTTCAAAATAATGAAGGTCTGCTAAATACTCCAAGAGCTCCATAAATATCTGCCAGCAAGTGGGAGTCCTTAACATTCTTCTTTGCTGACAAAATCTGTTCAAGAGCTCTGAACCATTTCAGCTTCCTGACCTTAAAAGCCGAAGGCTAACCTTGACTGAATGCATCTAATGCACCCTTTATTTCTCATAGCAGAAGGAGAGACAACCTTCTAGCCTTTGCTCATTCCTGATCCTTCAGGCAGAATGAAACGGAATGATTTAGGATGCCGGGGAGCAGGAATTTAGGGGTCTGCCTGAGTGATTCCCTTTTGTAGGATCCAAGCTTCAATGGAAACTTTCATGCCAGTGGTTCAATGAAGAGCAACAAGAGGGACCTAAAATTCCAAGTCCCAGCTTGATTCAGCATATTTTCAGTTTGCTAACATAATCTTGTAATGTAACTCTAGCAATATTATAATATGTGAATTTGTTGGTGCAAAAATGCATTTATACACACAGTTATGTCTTCTATATTGTAGACTTTCTAAGAGTCAGACTGCCTAACAAAATGTTTGAACAAAACCAGTAAAGGAACAAACTGAGCAAGAGACATTGCACATTGAACAAGTTTACAGAATAAACATCGAGTTACAGCACACATCCCTCTCTTGCAAAAAATATCAACAGGATCACGCATGGAAAAGTACTCCTGTATTATTTTTTCACTCATGCTCTGTACATCCTCTTGGTGTAATTAAATTGTAAGTAATTTGAGGTTTTAGCAGGGACTGCCTTTTGCTAGAGTTGCTAACAGCCTCGGGTTATGAATGTGGTGGGAGATTTACAGTACCAGCAATAAAACAAGCAACCCTGAGTTTCCTAATAATATAAATCTGGTTATTTAATCCAAATTCTATTTTGGCTGTGGTGCTCAGTGAAACTTATCATTGAGATGTAAGCACATGAGATCTACCAGGCAGTTCACTAAAACCCAACAGCTCCCACATACTTCTAGACGATTAATAACCTTTATCAACTTTTCGTTAAAAGATCAAAGTTAAAATGTAACTCCTGGACTCTCTTGCTTGCTATAGCATTCCAGGCATTCCCCCTTCTTTTTCAACATAAATCAGGGACTAAGTTGGCTCCAAACAATGTGGTTGTTTTTTTTTCTCCCTTGCTGCTGCTAACCTCTACCAGAGGTTGTAACAAGAAAAACAGTGGCTATTCTTATCAATGACAGAGAATGATTTTAACGTCTCATGCTGAAAGAGATCTTCAGAATCTCAGAGATACAAATGGGTCTCAGCACTGTGGCACAACAGGTCCACTACCTGAAGTCAGCTCTTGCTTCACATGCTAAGATTCTTCATCAGACACAAAGTTACTGTCAAAAGAAAACCAGCCTGTTGGCTGACCTTTCTGGTGGTTTTTGGTGTGTCTCACTACAGTCAGGAGCACTTTTTTCTGGTATCCTGCCAATCTTCTAATGTGTTTCAAAACAGTGCCACATTTGTTTCCAAATACCTAATATAGACTTGATGTGATAAAACCTGAAAAATCTTCAGCTAGATTACTGTATTTTTTATTGCCATTATTTGGCAATTAATAGCTCTCATCACTTACTGAGCTACGCTTGCTCTCCAACAATTAGCAGCAGGGGGAGCCACTTATTTTTCCAAGTTTTCTCATCACCTAAAACCTCATACTTCTTCCCATATTTTACAGGAGTGACAAAATGAACGTTTTTTACTCTGAAATCGCTAGGCCCTATCTGTGCTTGGGAGAAACAGATGCAGCTCCTGGACTGTAAAAACTTTAACATTAAAAAAAATAAGAGAAAGTTAGAGATGAAACCTTTCATTTCATTTTTCCTCATATTTAACCAGCATACATCCTAGTTTGTGTACATACTTCAGTCACCTCTTAGAAATCATACCTCTCGACCTTTAAAAGAAAACACTTCATGAGACTCGTGTAATGCACAAACACATCCCTAGATACAATGAGTGATGTCTTGTTGGTGTATTTTCTTTTGAAGCCTTCCCCTCTCCGTCAGGAGGAAAAAGATGAGCCTTAGAATACTCTCTTTAGTTATTTACTTAAAAAGTATTTGTACTGAGCTCTGTCTCAACATTTTTTCTTTAAATAAAACTAAGGAAGTTCAGTAGAAAAAAAATGTGCATTAGTTATGGTTTTTCATACAGTCACTGTAGAGGAATCATGGTTAACTATAAAGCACAGCAAACTTCTCAATTAAGGCTGGGTTTTGGGGTTTTTCTTTTTAAAGTTACTAATACTTTAAAGCCCAGAAAGCACCCTGAGGTGCCACAGAACCGTTTAACCACCAGGCTAAAGGCCGGATTCCCTACCGTCTTCACAGATTTAGTCCCGGAGTACAGGCCCGAGACCCCCGCAGCCGCCTGGCCACCACCACCGGCACCACCAGCACCACCACCAGCACCACCACCAGCACCACCTCCTCCGCTGTTTCGGAGGGTCGGGGGAGGCGGGGAGGCCTCTCCCCTCTGAGGGCTCCAGACCCCGCCCGGGGAGGCGGAAGAGGGGGACGGGGGACTGAAGCGGCCTGCGCGGGGGGCCGGGGGCTCCCGCCGGGCTCCTGCGCCCGCAGCCCTCACCTTGAGCAGCGTATCCGCCAGGTAGACGGCGCACCAGCCCCCCAGCACACACACCACCACCGGGATCGGGATCATGGCGGCGGCCGTTCCTACGGAGGAGCCCCCGGAACCAAACCTCTCCCGGAACCTTTCTCCCTCGGCTTATATTCCCCGGTCGAGACGCTTCCGGGCTACGCCCGGAGCGGCCGGGCAGGTCGCGGCCGCGCCGTGCGCATGCGCAGTGAGGCGGCCGCCTTTCCCGCCGCCGCGGCGGGCGGGGCGGACTGCGCCCGCGCGGCGGGCCGCCGCCGTTGCTCCTCCTTATTGCTAAATTTACTTCAGCTGTGTCTGTCTACGTGCCTCGCGAGGAGGTGGAACGCGGTCTTTTTATGTTACTTGTGGGATGACGGAGGCAGTCGGAGGCGAGCCACCCTCCCCTTAGCGGGGCTCCGCTGCCCGTTAGGCCCCGGCAGTGCCTGTGGTGCTGCGGGTGGGAGCTCTGTGGAGAGGCCGTACCCCTGTGGAAAGTGGTCAGGAAAACGTGAGGGAGAATAACAGTCAGTTCACGGTGGTGGGATTAAAGCAGACTGCGGAAGCGCTTCGGGCGTGAGCGAGGAATAGGGTTCCCCTTAACGACGGATATTCTTCCAGAAACGCAACGCTGGCTTCATGACGCAACAAAATGGTTTCACGAGGCTTGTTGTAAAAGTGACTTTCAGGCAAACGCTCTCTGGGACATTGTGTTTCGTTCCCAGTCCACTGTCACACTAATTCTCTGATTGTGTGCCTCACTTGATCTCTCTCACTGCTGTTGGGTGTGCTTTTTGCTGTTACTAGAAGTGGGACGTGCTGTGGGGTCACCGATCTTAAGAGTTGATTTCTCAGGGCCTCTCTTAGTTTAAAAACTTTCACTCAGAGCTTGAACACTAAAAGCAAACAAGTACAAGATTTGGCAAAGGTTAATGGAATTTATTTGCCTACACAAACTTCCCTTTCCCTTTTCCCTCTTTCCCCTTTCCCCTTCCCCCTTATTTCTAAAGATTTTTTAGGCATCAAGACAGCAGCAGTGGGAGAGCCCTCTGCAGTTTGAGGCTTTCAAAGGTCCACCTTTTCCTCTGTGCTCCAGACAAACTTTCCTTGGTCCTGGTTGGTGAGAAATTACTCAGAAGGGCATCTTTCTCCTGAAAATGCTTATTCCAACCATCCTTCAGCTCTTGATGTGTTAGTCTGTGGGTTCACGGACCATTCTGTGGAAGAGCTGGGACTGCCATTAAGAGAAGGGTTCATAAAACCAACCATAGCCTGTCTTTTCTACACAGAAAGCTTTGTAAAGTTGTGTTATTAAAAGAGGTGTACTGTTGTCTATCCTTTGAATCCAAAAATACATCAAGCCCTCCTGCTGGAATTTAAGTGTTTTTAATGCTGTTTTTCCGTCACATTTTTAGGTTTTTCAGCTCACTCTTTGTTCTATACATGCTTCTTCATCCTGTCCTTCCCAAAATGGATGCTGCGAGCTTTCCTTATGCTCCCAGCAGGAAGAACATCTCAGCTCTGATCTCCTTGACTCTTTTCAGCTCCCTTGCTTTTCACTGATAACATGGCGTTGCTGAGGGGGAATAAGGGGCTATACCTCGGGAGATGGTTAGATCAGCAAGCAAGAAAGGGGAGACAGCCCTGGCCAATCTCTCATCGCTGGCCATTGTGGGGGCAGAGGGGGAAGTGAGAACTGGCATTAGCATGCCTGCTTTCACTTGTTCTCTCTTTGGTGAATGTCTTTCATCTCAAGTCAGGGATGGTTTTCCTCCAAGTTTAGATTTTCCATCCTCCTTAAACCCCTGCCCTTTGGTGGGAGCTGTTCATGTTAACTGATGCCTTATGAGAACTTTTGAAAGAATTTCATTCCAACGTAAAAGCTGAAGAATTACGGGAAGGATATCTAGCCCTCCATGCAATCAAAGTGGAGTCTGTGCACCAACATAGACAACTTTGGGGTGTCCCCAGCATCTCAAAGCAATTATAAAGAGTCCCAGAATAGTCAGATCTGATTATGACTTTTCTGCAGTGGTTCCCAATCTAGCAAGTGCAATTGCAAATCTTTGAGAAACGGTGCAGATGTGGTTAATTCTATACCTTATTTGTTGAAAACTCAAGTTGTTCCATAGACCAACATGCATTTAATATAAATATACAAAACTTATTCTAGTGGTGGTCTTTGGAAGCAATGGAGGGGAATTGTATTCAAACAGTTAAGAACACAAGCACTACTAGTGACATAGCCTCACGGAAATCAAGCGTAGTAAAATGGACATGTTTAAATGATCCAGTCAGTAAACAGCTTTTGTTACACTATTGTATTTTTCTCTAAGTTCATTCAGTATACTGCATAAAGTAAGGACCTGAATTTTATTGAGTTGGCGTAGAAATTGGCAGTGCAAATAAAAAAGAATGCAACTAAAATATGCAGTCTGCGTTTTATTGCTAGAAAGTTTATCACAAGAAAACAAACAAAAATGAGAATTTTCTAGAATGCAAAGATAGATAGATATTCTGGGTGAACTGCCAGCCCCGCTTTTTTTACTTGCTTAACTTCAGTGCGCATTTTGCCCCTGGCAGAAAGGCAAAGTTAATCCTTGTTCCTGTGGAATGAGACCGTTGCAGGCTGTGAAGTGTTACAGGGAGAGATTGCATCTTGCATTTTGAAAATTAAGGTGTTCAGGATTAAAGATCTCCACTTCAAAATGGTTCAGGAGGTAGTACAGATACTGATACACTTTACCACTGCTTGTTTTTCCTTACAGCCACATATTAAGCAAAAGTAGTGACTGAAGGAAAATGCCATGCAGTAATCAGGTTAGTGCACAGTATCCATGCATTGTTACAAAGCAGTGTAACTATCAGAGTTTTAGAAGTCACAGAGTTTTAGAAGCTGAGGTGTGCATTAGTGGGATGGCATGGGTGGACCTCAAAAGGGCAAGTACCAAAGAATGCTAGAAAACAGTCATCAGGCAAGAGTATCTAAGCTCACGCAAAACTTTAGACAGGAAAAAAAAAATCTCATAAGCATAATAATACCGATTAAATGTAATTTGGCAAGTAAATACCAAACAGAATGTGTTGATAATACATTAAGATATTATCAAATTCAGTTAGCAGCTTAATGTCATAGCCATCTTTTTCTAGACATAGTAAATATATTTATCTTAAAATTAATTATCAACACATCTAATAATTAATCTCTCTTCAACTTTGATCTATAATTGAAGTAGATACGTGATTATTCAGATACCACCATAGAAGACACATTGCAAAATAAAAGTATAACCAGTCTTAACAATACTTTCAAAAGCTCTGATGTTAGAGGGATTTGCAGGGCTTCAGAGAAATTGTACCTGATCACAGTTCATTGCAGGCTCAGACCTAAAATCAGCTAAGATGGGGATTTGGGCATGGAGAGGTAGTAAATTTTGCCAGTTTAAAGACCATACAATCAGAACATGACCTGGTTGGGTAAGTGTTTGAGCTTTGAGGAGAGCAAATGGGTTTCTAGATACGTTCTGAGTAGTATTCGTCACTGGATTGTTGGGCATTGAGATGAGCTAAACAGAGGAAAGGAAGGCTGGAATAAAACATGATTCTGCAAACGTTTATGTGCCAGCGTAACTTGAAGGGTTGCCTCCATGGAGTAGGTGAATGTTTGCAGAATGAGCACTCAAGTCTAGCTGAGGATTTAAAGTACAGACAAGGATGCATGAAAGAAGAAATAGATGGGTAAAGATGAAATAGATGGTCCATTAAGCACTTACACAGGTTAGGAGATTGCTTCTGGAGGGAATAAAAAGATCAGAGGAAAGAAGAAATCTGAGACCCAAGAGGAGAGATACAGAGACTGGCACACTACAGAGATGTGTATAGCATTGGTTGTAAATGTTTGAAGGACAACCGTGTCTTCATTTACCTTACTAATATTATTATGTAAAACTCTCAGTATATGGGAGAAATCCAGGTAATGGGAATTATGGCGACATGTAATACGTGTGATCTTTTAAACTGAAACCCAAACAAGAAAAGAAAAAAACCTTTCATCCTTGCTGTGCCTAGAAAAGAAAAGAGCAGAATGTTACACAATTTTCTTGATAGGTTTTTTTGTGTGTTCCAATTACAGTACTAAACAGTCTTGCTTTATTTAAATAGAAATGAGGTCAAAATATTCTGTTAAGGTTCAGGATTTGTTTGCAGTATTTAACCTGGTTACCAAAAATACATGCAGGAAAGGTGGGATTTTGACTCTTAAAACAAATGAAATTTGTTCTTAAGTCACTGTTCATGTGAACCATGTAAGTAAAGGAAAAGCACAAGCGTTCACAGAAACATGCCTTTACTTGGTTCATCTGCTACAAGGAGTAGTTTACATGCTTTTTCACTATTTGTTAATTGCTAGTGCTGATCTATAGCAAAACAAATGACAGGTTTTTCTTAATTGCTATCAGTTTGCAGCATTTACCCATCCGTCGTAATTCTGTTAGGCACATCGTGACTGGAATTACATCTAAAAGAAGCTCCTCCAAAGCTGTTGCACTCCAAGGGGAAATGAGTGTCAGACTCTAAAGAAAAACAAAGGAAAAGGAGAAACTTGAGAGATGTGGCTCGCATATTATTCTAGAATACAGTTCTGTAAGAATTTTAGTTTGGGGCTTCAGCTACTCATTTTAGCTGATAGTCTTGCTTGCTCACCTGTCAGGCTTTGCATCCTCTGCAATCGTTTGGAAGTTGTATGTGAGAAAAAGCGTGGAATATCTACTGTTGAGTAGCTATTCAGCATTAGCTCCTATGTTGGGATCCCTTTACAGCTTCAAAAGTCTGTCCTTGAAAATGGATTTACCTAAGCTGCAGGGAAAAAAGGGCTCAGTCAGTGAAGGAAGAGAGCACACAAGTGAAGCTAATGCCAAACAGTTATGGTTTGTTTTTTGTTTTTTTCTTTAAATTACCGGTGAAGTCCCTATGTACATGGTCTCCTATTCTACTGCAGAATGGAAAACAAATATAGAATAATTTTGGTCTAATTGTTTCATGTTTACTGTAACCTGAAGTAAATGCACAGGATAGCATTAGACCTATCAAGTTGCAACCCCAAAACTTGTAGGGCAGCCCTGAACACTAGAGAAAGGAGTGCGCTTAGCTTGAGTA